AAAGACACAAAAGACAAAGATCCTCCCGATAGCAGGATGCTGGGGCAAGTGCTATCGGCGAGCACCTAGAAAGGTCAGCAAAGCGCACAAGCGAGGTGGTGTGGCTGCAACCACGCCCGCCCGCCCGTCCGCCTTTGTCTCGCCAGTGACGATGTTGACACATCGCATCGGGTACTATTTTGAAGACCGATTCGACCTAGGCGTATGCCTTGGACCGGTTCAGATGAATGGCCACTGATGTGATAAGTCGTGGCTTATTAGGTTGCAAGGTTCACATTGTGTTAACCATTGCAGCACATCTACAGCCTCCTCCCTCGCCCCCCCGGATATGAAAGGCACATACACACGCGGACATACACAGACACGCATGCCGCTTACGGCCTGGAAGGGGTTGGTAGCGAAGTGTCGTGCTCACAGAGTTCGATCCCCAGGCGCGGCTCAACATCATTGGCGAGTGATATCTGCACCAGGTGTCCCCCCCTCCCCTTCCCAAACCCACCCCCACCGCACGTCCTTCACCAGCGTGGTGAAGTATGGTCAAACAACCCCGCATGATCGTCACGCGGTCATGGGGAGCGAGGGGAGACCTCCATCCATCGGAGGCCAACAGTGGATGGACAAAGCGCTGCCGACGTTATTATTACTACGACGTGTTGTAAGCAGGTTGTCTGCGTCGCTCGCTCGTGAGCTTGAGCCACTGTGGCTACTGGAGGTGACAAAGGAATCTGGGTGCCCTGTGCGCGTGAGTGGACACGGCGAGTAAGCGCATTGACTCGCCTCTCACTGCCGCTCAGAGTTAACGACCTGCGCGGCTCTGTCTGGTATGCAGGTGGCTTCATTGTTTCACGAAGCGAAACAGCCAAACGCCGCATAACCCACCTACCCCCACCCCACTCCTATCACCATCACAACTGTCATCCAGCTGCGGATATAGCAATAAAGAGCTGCAATTGAAAGGCGGCAGACGCGCGCTTGTGAGCGCGTTGAGCTCATGAGCCCAGCCGGACGGGATACGTGATTTCGCTAAGATCAGCAGTTAGTCATCTGAACGTCCGGTCATGGCATCCCGGTCATTTACCGGCGCTCGCACTGATCAGGATTGGTGGTGAAGTATGGTCAAACGAAAGATTGCACCGACGTGACGTGGGTGGGAGGCCTTCATCGAGAGGTGGATGGACAAAGGGAATGTGTTTAGTTCCAATCGACACAGGATCTCCAGGACGTCATGTAAATGCTATGCAGACGTTGCACGTGATTGACATCCAAGTGCGTTGCGTGCATTCATTGCGCACGTTGTGATAATAATCGTAGTGATATTTGGTCTCTGTGTATCCAGCAAAACATCGCTGATTCGAGAGACAATGTTTCAGGAAGGTACCTGCCCCATTGGGATTGTTGGCCACTTCCCGTGTTAATAGAACGTATGGCTTCATGTGCGAGGAAAGCAGAGTAGCCCAGACAAAACAAAAATCCACCACGCATTTGTAAGCGTTAGTTGCAGAAATATATGATTATAGTAATTGTAACGATGGGGGTGGGGGGTAGGGGTGTGGAAGGGGAGCTGCGGTCACTCCATCAACATTTAATTTATTATTTTATCTTTATACGTGACTTTACCGAAAGAACCAAAGAGTAATTCCTGCAGTCACGAAAGCTCCAAATTAAGATTGGTCAAATATGGTCTAATAACAGCGCGGGGAAAGTTCTCATCCAGCAGTGGATTGACAAGAGGAGGGTGTCGACAACGGGGCGAACAAAGCATCGGAGGGACTGTTGGCAGGAAAGGCCACGACCACGTCACACACTGTTGAGCACAGTTCTCGCAGTACATTGGTAAACCACAGACACGGGCATTTATTGAGATCAAGCTGCCAATGAGACAATGCAGCGTCAAGTCTTTTGTGCAAGCTGCTGCAACCACAACAACAATCCACAAACGCTTTCTTTCCGCACAAGGCTTAAAAGCAAACAGCACCCAGCTGGTTAATACGTTTTTTTTCGTATATAATGGAATATAACTGACATGACCCCAAACAAAAATACAACTCTGACAATGTATGCACTGTCCTTGAAATTGATTTGTCCACACCTGAGACAGCTTTTCTTAGAGCCCAGTCTCACAGTGCATACATTATCAGAGTTGTCTTTTTTTTTTGCATTTTGACCGCAAGTGTTGTGGTTAATGCAAACATGATCCCTTGTATAAAGGTGTCAGTTTTGTTGCCAGATAAAAGGGTAAAAACCTAATACTATATCTTGCTACTGGCAAAGGAGGTCTCATAATATAATATTGAGACTTACCAAAACTCTTTAACATTCTCTCTACATATAAAACTCAATGTTTTCTGAAAAGGACTAGGAGGCCTTAACCTTGATAATTTTTTGACAATTAGTATATTATATTATTATATTATTTTATTATGTTTTATTTTTTTATTTTATTATTTCCCTTCTACGTGACTTTACCGAAAGAACCAAGAAGATAGTATATTGCTATTCATTAACCATGTATTTTATGCAGCAGTTTGAAAGTATGTTACAGATGCAGCAATATAATATAATTGATTGATACCTATAGCCTAAAAAGCTCAACACGTTCGTTATTAACACTGCAATAAATAAAAACATATATATACACACAAGAGCTGACCTTTGGGGAATGACCATTTGTCATAGAAGACCCAAAGGCCCCCATTTCATATTTGCTATGAAGAAGGGTCATTGTCCAAAATGTTGCCGGCGATATGTTTTGTTGAGACGGTGCAATTGACGAAATTGTTGAGTTGTTCGTGTTGTTGATTGAGCTTGTGCACCGCTGCCAACGCTGCAGCAGCAGCAGCACCAAACGATCTGTACAAAGAGACTCGAGAGCTAATAGACCACGTGTTGCGCCGGTGAATTTTGGTGTCGTGGACTTCAAAAGGAAAGCAGCTGTGATGATTTGTCTTTGTTACAAATGCGCCGATCTTCGCTCCGCCTCAACCAGGCCCGAACCCCTGCCTCCCTGCCTACAACCCACACACTGCTACCCGCCCCCCCCCCCCCCACGTTGCCGGCACGTGCTGGCTGGTGGTCGCTCCTTCTCCTCTGCGACTCCTACAGTCTGAATCTCCCTCTCAAGTCCTGTTTGATTGAACTGGTGACGCCTTAGATCAGTGGTTCTCAAGATTTGTTGGCTGAATTTCGATTTAAAGCTTTCGTGACTGCAGGGATTCGTCTTCTTGGTTCTTTCGGTAAAGTCACGTAGAGGGGAAATAATAAAATAATAAAAATAAAACATAATAAAATAATATAATAAAATAATAATATACTTTTATTATTTCCCTTCTACGTCACTTTAACAAAAGAACCAAGACGATTTGTTGGCTGCTTTACCTCCTTGTTCAATTTTGTTTCAACCGAGGACCCCCCTTGCCTAACTCAACGTGGAATACATGTATGCATAGTGAACATCAACATTTTAACGAATTGTAACTGCAAGCGGATAAAAACTAATTCAACAAGACGCTCTGCATGTGTCATGTAATTTGTTCATGCTCGCTGGTTACTCTTGTAAACCACATTGTTTACGATCAATGAGGCTAGAAAGGTATTTAATATTGTTCGAGGTTACCATATGGATTTAAGTGTTATCGAAGTTATTTATATTGGCAGATTCATACATGATTATTCACCAATGACACTCATGTACGATACCATTCCATGCATTTATAAGTCATCTCACGTACCGCCTGGAACATTGCCACGTATCCCGAGAGGTCTGCATACCCCCGGTTGAGAACCACTGCCTGAGACTACACGTGACTTCACTCGTGGACTAACTCACAGCCCATGCCGTATTTGACACTCATACCACAGAACACTGCAGACTGTGTCGTCGTCCCCCGATCCGACTTTCATGTACATGTTGATGATCCATGTGATGGTGGCGATGATGGTAATGATATTTGGCGGTGGTGGTCATGATGATGATGATGATCATGATGTTGATTTTTTTGGATGATGATGATGAAAATAATGCTGGGCGGTGGTGGCTATGCAAGTGGTCTATAATCCAGCACTGTGATGATGGACGCTTGTGTTGCGCCCAAAACGTCGTTATTTATTTTATTTTATACCCACGTGACTTTATCGAAATAACCAAACAGTATGGATTCCTGCAGTCACGAAAGCTTCAAATCAAGATTGATCACACTAATGTTGTGAAACTCCCTTTCCCGTGGGCGTCGATAAAGTGCCATACCCTGGCTCGCCAGGAGAACGCAGTGCAGCAAGTGGACTAATCACCAGCTGTTTCCATCGTTACGGGGAGATGGGGGGGATAGAGCGTTGCCCCCTCGCGCGTGTGAGTTTCCTCCGCGTGCTCCGGCTTCCTCCCGCACGTATAAACACTCGTCATTAAATGGCAGACATCTTCGAATAAAACCCCAATGCAGGAACCCAACTGAAAAAAAACAGTCATCAGGCTCAGTGTGGCTGGATAAATGAGTAATTACTGTAATAATGTTTGTGTTCGTGAAGCTTGTTATTGTGGTTTTGATTATGGCGACGACCACAATAATGGCAACAATGGTGACGATTATAACATTACTTTTATCCTCATACCAAAAGACAAAGATTCCCCGTATAGCCTTAACCAACTGTTGGGCAAGTGCTGTTAGCGAGCTCCTATAAAGGCCAGAATGGTGGGTAGCCAGCACCATGCCCGGCCACCGTTGCATCCCTGGTGGAAACGTTTACACACCGCACCAGGTACTAATTTGAGGTTGAGTCGACCTAGTGGAGGAGGCCCAGGACCGGTTAAGATAATCGTCACTGTTGTTGGCCGTGAGCGGCAAATCTAACTGGGGTTTCCAGGTCCGTAGCGCGGCGTGCTAACCTCTACACTACCGCTCCCCACCCACGTACCACACACACACACGTGGCCCACAATCACAGCCACACGCCGCAATAATTCCCGTTTACTCGGCGGCTGCCAAGAAGGGGGAGGGAGCACGCACCTGAGTCTCGGACAGGTTGAGCTGGCGCGCGAGCTCCGTGCGCTCCCGGCCCACCAGGTATTGGCAGCGCTGGAACTCGCACTCGAGTCGGTAGAGCTGCTCGGCCGTGAACGATGTGCGGGTCCTCTTGGGCCGCTCCAGGTCCAACCCCTTGGGCAGCACGAGCTCGCGGATGGCGCCCTTGGCGTCTGCAGTGCCGCCCCCCGCGTGCGCCACGGCGAAAGCGGCGGCGGCGGCGAGAGAAGAGCGCGCGTCAGGTGCAGCAGTGCGCGCTCGCGTGTGTGTGTAGGCGCGTGTGTGTGTAAGTGCGTGTGTGTGTAAGTGCGTGTGTATGTGGGTGCGTGTGTGGGGAGCGGTGGTGTAGCGGTTAGCGCGCTGCGCTATGAACCCGGCGACCCGGGTTCGATTCCCGCTCACGGCCAACACCAGTGACGATTATCTAAACCGGTCCTGGGCCTCCCCTAGGTCGACTCAGCCTCAAATGAGTACCCAGTGCGGTGTGTAAACATCGCCACTGGGGAGACAAAGGCGGTCGGGCGTGGTGCTGGCCACCCACCCCCTCGTGCACCGTCCAGGCCTTCATAGGTGCTCGCACTTGCACCCCAACAGTATGGTACAGGTTATATGGATAATCTTTGCCTTTACGTGTAAGGGCTGCAGATCGGTAACGCTGTGGTGGCTGTGAGCATTGCTATTGGGTGAAAGGCCCTTCCTGGCGCTGTAAGCCTCTATGCAGTGGCCAACGGTGGCTCTGGGCCAGGGGCTGGTAACCCCTTCACCTTCAATCAGAAAGCCACGAATTAAATATCAAACTAAGCTTGTGTAGAGGCCCTGGGAGGACAGGCGTCTATGTCGTCTGGCTGATGAGTCATATTTCTTAAATAACCTACTGACACAGGTACTAGCTAAAGTGACCCCTCGGGATAGAGTGATCATATTGGATGGCTTTAATATCCAAGCAGGTCATAATTTAGCCACCTGGGCTGGAGTGATTGGATCAGCTCAATAATAGTAGGAAACTGCTCGTCTTCTTGTAATCATCAATATGCCGTCCCGTCATTGGTGCATCCACACACCATCATAGATGCACGCCTCGTCCAAGCAACAACATCTGCTTGACTACATAGTGATCGAACAACGGATGCAGGCCCTTGTCCTTGATACCAGAACTTCCCGTGGAGCTGGTCAGCCCAGTCATCATCGGCTTGTCATCTGTAAGATACACCTGCCATTCTTCTACTGTGGTGGTGGGTGTCCTCCTGGGACCCCATTCAATCCCACAGTGGCCTGGTCTCAATTAAGTGACGAAAGTTGCAAGTGAGTATTCAGCTGGGGTTGGGTGAGGTTTGGAACTATGCATTATTTGGGTCTTTCGGTAAAGTCACGTAGATAGGTTCAAAGAAAATAACAAAAACATAACAAAAAACTACGACGTATCGATCGCAACACAAGTGGTCGTCATCAGGAAAAGGGGGGTTAGTTTCTAAAAAGAACTTTAACCAAAGACCCAATTAATTTGAATTCCTGTAATCGCGAAAGCTTTAAGTTTATAACTATGGTTCATGAAGCCCAGAGTTCCACAGAAAGCCTGAAAGATGGAGGTGTTCCAGCTAGCTCCCACCGATTACATCATCCCACGTCGACGAATGAGGAGGCTTATGACAGCCTTCGCTCAGAGGTTCGTAGAGCCATCCGGCCCTGCGAGGATGAGTGGTGGTGGTTTACAAGAGGAGGTGGTAAATGCTTCAGTAGATCACGACAACGAATCACTCTTTAATGACATCTAAAAGTAACTTGCGGCGCCATCCCTATTACCATGCTTAAGGGAAATAATGGTGATATGATCTCCGACCCCCAGGAACAACTCTGCAGGTTTTTTGAGTTTTTAAGTGAGGTATTGGGGTAGGGCAAACCCCTAAGCTCAGATAACATCACGGGGCAAGGTGGGGATGTCCTTGCTGGGGCTGCAGTGTCTCAAATATTGGAATAAATAGCTGGCTGCGGTGCCATCTGTTCAGGATGTACCAGGAGCGATCCAGTGTCTGAGACCAGGAAAATCGCCAGGCAGAGATGACCTCCCAAGCGAAATGCTGAGAGAGGGTGGTGTTTGTCTGCAGACTGTCCTGTATGACATCATTACAGCAGTCTTTACCACAGGACAGGCTATGCAGGATTGGAAGGATGTCCTCCTTCTTAAAGAGGGGGACCGTACTGATTTTAACAACTATTGGGGCATCTCCCTCCTAATGTGCCGGGAAAGGCTCTGGCAAGGATTATTCAACATCGTCTTGCCAGACATGCTCAGGAGAGGCGTGCAGAGGCCCAGTGGGATTTTAGGCCTGGGCAGTCCTGTATTGATGCCATATTTTCTGTCCGTCTGCTACAGAAGAGATATAGGGAATTACAATGGGACCTACATCTCTGCTTTATTGATCTGGTCAAGGCCTATGATACGATCAATAGGTCATGGCTGTGGGTTGTTCTGCGTGCTTTCGGGGTCCATGGCTCTGCTCACAATCAATAAAGAACGTCATGATGATGAGCAGACACAGTGAAGCTGGTTGGCTGGGAGTCCCACACATTCCCTCTTTACCTTGGGGTGCGATAGGGATATCATCAGGCTCCTAAATTAATTACCACATGTTTCAACCACGTAGTTCGAGAAACATTCCATGGCTGTAGCAGAGGACTTTTTTTATTTGGTACAGACACAGTGGGAGGCTGATCGATGCCCTGGTGCAGTCCAGGGATGGTTCCCTATTGGCCAACCATGTTATGTATGCTGATGATGTGGTGGTTGCTGCTCACTCTGAGAATTAGTTGGAGGCTCTGCTACTAAACCTGGAGCGAGTCACGAAGAGATGGGGCTTTAACATCAGCCCCACCAACACTAAGCACCTGCCTGGATATTTTGTGTCGTAAAATGCTCCACTCTCTCAACTCCCAATGAGTTATGGAACAGTTGTGGAGATAGTGGACAAGTGTCCTTACCTGGGCAGTGTGCTTTAAACTAGCTCTGGTTTGGCAGCAGAGATCGTACTCCGAATCAGTTGAGCAGCATTATATTTGCATCAGCTTCGTAAGTCAGCGTGGAAGCTACCTGGCCTGCTGCTTCACACAAAGTGTTGGGTCTTCTTCGCCACAGTTATGCCCTCCTATCTATATGCTTGCAAAACGTGGACTCCTCTGAAGGAATATCTGTGCCAGTTTGAAACATTCAGGCTGGCCTGCCGACGATCCATCCTGGCTTTAAACAGGCTAGATTGTGTGAGGAGCTTACAAATCCTTGAACGATCTGGATATTGTCCCATCAGTGAGCTGCTCCGGCAAGAGAGGCTGCGTTGGCTGGGTCATGTAATCCGCATGCCCAGCCACCGCATACCCAAGCAGCATATGTTTGGCCAGATAGAGGGTGCTAAACGGGCGCGGCACGGGCTGGAGAAGAGATTGATTGATGTGTACAGGATGATGTGGAGCTGATTAGACCTGCCGATGACTGGTATCATCGGTGTAATATCAGCCTCTATCGAGGAGGCTTCGTGAAGGACATTACTGGACAGTTAGAGGCAGTCACCCTCCAACAATAGCGGAGGGTAGAGAAGTGGCACTCACAGCAACGAGCGGAGGGCTGGCCGGCTAGATATCGTGAGTTGGCACAGTGGGGAGTACAGTGGGTGCACATATCAACGATCTTAGTCAGCGAACCTATGGCACCTAGGGTCTGGCCCGTGACCTCCTGCCATCAAGCTCTTGACATTTCACGTGACCTCAAAGCGCACCTAGCCTGGCACGAGCGCCGTGTTGAGTGTGTGGCAAAGGGGGGGGGGGTCTGCTTGCGTAAAAATGAGGGTGTGTCCGAGTGAGGGTGTGGATGTGTATGAGTGTAGGTGAGTGTATGTGGGCAAAGTAGGGGGCATAGTTGGTGCAACGGGCCTGTCATCTCAGTCAGTCCACCCATGGCGACCTGGGTCTGCCCCGTGACCTCCTGCCGGCGAGCGTTCGACACTTCACATGGCCTCAACGTGCACGTAGCCTGGCACAAGCACCGTGTTGACGTCACTGCCACTAAGGCGTTGTTGTTGTTGTATGTGGGGAGCAGTAGTGTAGCGTTTGTGGCGCTCCAAAGCCGGCGACACGAGTTCGATTCCAGCTCACGACCAATAATAGTGGCGAATATTTCAACGGGTCATGCGCCTCCACTCGGTAAGCATGTCTGGCGTGTGTCGTGTCGGCCTTCATATATGCTCCCTCGCAGAACTTGCCCCAATGGTCTGTTACGGGCGATATGTATAATTCTCTCTAGGTTTGTGACTGTCAGGATGTTTATTCTTGTAAGAGTGCGTTGACGGTACGTATTGGGGCGTGTAAGTGTGAGAGCGTGTTTGTAAAAGTGGACCAAATGCGCGTGAAAGAGTTGCGTGTGGCAGTGTGTGACGTGGGTGCCCGCTAACAGCAGATTATACTGGTAGAAACCCACTGGTTCCACCAGCCCACAGGGGCTGGTCACCCCGTGGTGCCCTTATAAAACTCAACGTTTAACCTATTCACGCAGACTTGTGCCCGCCCACACAGTCGGGCATATTTGCGGAATACACCACGCCGCCGTTGACCCTGGCTATTGACCGAGCAACCCAACGTTCCTACCTGCTCCCTCCGCAGGAATGTGTTAAACAGGTCTAAACAAAGCGACGTTAGTTCTGTGTATACATACGTGTGTGCGTGTGTACGTGTCGTCTGCAAGGCCTTCATAGGTGCTCGCGAATAGCAACTAAGTCTGCTAAGGCTGTACGTGTCAGTTGAGCGTGCTGAACACACACACGCTGATCCAACAAGGTCTATTGATCAGATCGCCTGAATGATGATGTACATACTTATGCGTCTGAGTACAAACTCACGAGTTCTGGTTAAACTCCGTTCAGTGCCTCCACGTATGAACCCAAATATGTTAGTCCAGATGCATATTTAATGGCATAGAAACGTATTTATTTATGCAACAGATTTTTTTTCTTGTTGTTGAAGCTACTCTGGACGAGTTTCAAACCTTTTGGATCTCATCGGCAGTCAGGCTGGTGGAACATACTTTTCGAGATTCCAACTCGGGTTACCACTCAACGTTGCACTACATCCATGCTACAAACTACAAGCACACACACTCAACAAAGACAAAGATCCCCCGTATAGCCTTAGC